AAGTCAGATCCTGTGTCACCCCTCCTTTAAAGCTCCCCAGTGGCTCCCATCTCACTCAGAGTAAAAACCAAAGTTCGTCCAAGGGCAAGCAAAGCCCTAAGTGCCCCACACACCCTCTATCCTCCTCCCCAACTCTTCTCCCCTCTGTTGGCCCTGATCCAGCCACACTGGTCCCCTGCTGTTCTGGAAAAGTGCCAGCCTGCTTTATTTCCATTTGCTCACCTCCTTCTGAGCAAAACTTTCTCCACAGCCCTATTTAAAATTGCAAACTCCTCTTTACCTGGGACCCCTGGTCGTTTCCCTGCTTTATTCTTCACCTGCTTATAGACTCTATAATGAATATATTTATCTTATTTGTTATCTGACTCCCTCATGAGGGCCTAGATTTTTGTCTTTCTCAGTCACTGCTGGTCACACGTGGCACCTAGTGGACCCTCCATAAATGTTTATTGTGTGAATGAACTGAGGATGTCGGGAGTACCTGTCCACAAGCACCAGCAGATTTTTCCCTTGTAGGTTGCAGGCTGTTCTTGCTGGAGCTGTCAATTTTTTTTTAAACAGAAGTGCAGGTATTTCTGAGAAATCTTCAGTTTTCACAAAATGTTGGCAACTAATTCAATTTTTTTAATAAAGACTATGTTATTGGGGAGCCTGGGTGGCTCAGGTGGTTAAAAAGACTATGTATTAAAAATTTTTTAGGGACACCTGGGTGGCTCAGTTGGTTAAGCGATTCCCTTCAGCTCAGGTCATGATCCTGGAGTCCCTGGATCGAGTCCCGCATCGGGCTCCCTGCTGAGCAGGGAGTCTGCTTCTCCCTCTGACCCTCCCCTCTCTCATGTGCGCCCTCTCTCTCACTCATTCTCTCTCTCTCAAATAAATAAAATCTTAAAAAAAAAAAATTTTTTTTAAATCCATTCGTTGGCTGAATTTGACCCACAGGCCCACAGGCCCTGGTTTGCACTCTGTAGGGTACGTTGGACTGGCTTTGCCATCTTCACTGAAGACATGCAAGCTTTCCAAAAATAGTAGCCATAAAATTTATTCCTAAGCTTTTCTTCTTTGTCCCTTGGTTCTAGTCCAGAAAGCACGTCTCTAGAATCAGAGCAGCAGAGGAGGGATTAGATATGGCTCTGGAGAAGGACAGTGTGTAGAGAGGGCTTACCACCCGTGAGTCCTCAGATCTGGGGCCTGTGTGGGTGCCCCTGGTGGGGGCCAGCACTGGTATTCAAGTGTCCTAAATGGTTGTCACTGGTCTTCCAGACATGCATCATCTCCTCCCACAGTGCTGGGTCCCAGGCAGTCCACCAGGGCAAGACTTGTAGGAAAATACAAACCAAAATGAATTGATAGGGTAAGCCCCTCTGAGGTGTGCTCCTTGGAAGCCAAAGCCCCAAAAGCATGACCAAACAGGATGCTGGCAAAGGTAAGAGGTAAGAGGCATCCTCTTACGTTGCTGGCCAAAGGCTAAATCGGTCCATTTCTAGAGAAGTAGTTTGGCAACACTTATCAAACGTACAAATGCATGTATTCTTTGATTAAGGAATTATATTTTAATGAATTTATCCTACAGATACACTCATGTGTGTTTGAAATGAATTGAGATGAGGAGGTTTCTCAATGTGACACTGTTTGTTGTAACAAAAGCTTGAAAATAACCTAAATGTCCTACAATGTGTAACTAGATAAATTACGCTAGAGCCATGGAATGAAATGCTGCACAGACATCAAAAATAAGAAATAAAATCTGTATGTGCTGATATGTAAAGTCCTCCTACAGGATTGTTTTATTTAAAAAAAAAAAAGGCAGGCTGATAACATTGTGGACACTATGCTACCATTTGTAGCATGAAAAGGGATGGTAGGCGCATAGCTATTTATTCTTACACGTATAATATATCTCTGGCTCAACACAGAGCAGTCCAGTATCATCGGTTACCTCTAAGAATGGGATTTGGTGACAAAATCGCAAGGAAGAATAAATTGCCAATAAATTTACTTTAATATATTTTTATTTTTAACTATGTGAATGTTTACTACATTAAAAAGAAAAAGAAATGTCATATTATATGCTTGGAAATCTCCCTAAAGGGGCACCTGGGTGACTCAGTTGGTTAAGTCTCTGCCTTCGGCTCAGGTCATGATCTCAGGGTCCTGAGATTGAGCTCCACATCAGGCTCCCTGCTCAGCAGGGAGTCTGCTTCTCCCTCTCCCTCTGCCCCTCCCCCTGCTCATGTGCTCTCTCTCTTTCTCTCTCTCTCTCGCTCGCTCTCTCAAATAAATGAATAAAATCTTAAAAAAAAGAAGTCCCCCTTAAAAGATACCCATTGTAGTATAGCTTATAATAATAAAAAAGGGAAGCAATCTTGTGTGTCAAATAATAGGCTATTGGTTAAATAAAAATTTTACCATATTTAAGTTTTTTCTGATTTTATAAATTTCCAGTACAACTTTTTTGCCTTTTCCTCTCTTGATTAAACATATTGCCTGTACCTTCATGTTGGAATATCTCCATTCTTCAGATCTTTTTAGTTTTTTTTCCAGACTTTCGTCAGAAGAGTCTTTTGTTTTCTTCTTTTTTGTTTTGTTGAGGGGTGGTAACATTTTGTTGAAGAAAGTAATGATAGCTTTAATAACACTGATGACTTAGGGCCAAGAAAAAAATCAGAATAATCAAGTCAGCAAGCTTGATTCTTTTGGGTAGATGTCTACATAACCCTTAATTGATTAAAACATTAATACTGTATGCTTTTCTTCAGGACTTATTAGATAATCAGCCATAAAGAGAAATTTGTACTATTTCACATAGGTTGAGATAGCTTTCTCTTCCTCTCTAATTCTGCAATTCTAAATTCGCTTTTTATTGGAACTCCATACATTCTCTTTTCCCTGAAAACACATTGTAGAAAGTGACTTAATCTTTCTATAACCTTATTAGCCAAAACCCAGCAATCATTAACATTATTTGACATGTAAACTTGGACAGAACCCTTTTCTTTGCTTTAGTTTTCCTTCCCAGTAAAATAAATTGGCAAGATATTGAGTACTTGGGATGGTGTTGGGCATGCAAGAAATCATAATTGTGTTTACATGTGATACATAATTTGTATCATAAAATGCATTTACTCATACTTCTGTAGAGAGTTTGCCTTTCCTCCACAGTACTCTGTAACTGTGATTTTAAAAAAAATTAGTAGACAGATGCTATTCTGTGGTAGATTTTTTACGTTTCCCTGGGAAAATAAGAAAAAATAAGAATAAGGTAGAGGATTTTTTTTAAGTCTGTGTGTTCAATTTGAAGAATTCATCCTAATTCTAAAATTACGATCTTCAAGTTGTTAAAATGGATGTCAAGATAATCTTCTCTTATAAAATGGTAGGCAATCATTATTCTTAATTTCATTTTACTAGTTTGTAAAATCTATTCCTCTAGTAGATGAGAAACGAAAGCTAGATCCTGCAGCTGATCATGTAAGCTCTGAAATCATTCAAGTCTGAAATCTCCATGATACCTGTATCATACAGTGTGCATTTTCATCAATTTTAAATATTGGGGATCCCAATGGAATATTGTCTTAGCTTGCTGTAACAAAATACCAGAAATTGTGTGCCTTAAACCACAGAAATTTATTTTCTCACTGTTCTGGAGGCTGGAAGTCTGAGATCAGGGTGCCAACATGGTTGGGTGAAGTACCTCTTCCTGGCTTGAGACAGCTGCTTCTCATTTTTTTCTCACATGATAGAGACTGACAGCAAGTTCTCAGGCATCTTTTCTTATAAGGGCACTCATCCCTTCATGAAGTCCCCACTCTCATGACCTAATTGGACCTTAATTACCTCCCACACACCCCATCTACGAATACCATCACACTGGAGGTTAGGACTTCAACATGTGAATTCTTAAAGGACACAGACATGCAGCCCATTGCAAGTGTTGTTATGGTGTTAGGTGTTGTTATGGTGTTAGGATGATGTTAGGCCAGGGATCCAGGAAAATTCAAATCCTTTCTTAATTAAGCGACCACTAAATTTCGGGAATAAAGGCAAAACAAGGCAAATAACACTATCACTACCTAAGACTGAAGTCTCAAACCCCAAGGCAAAACTGGTAAGCTAAGCAGTTAGGACAGAAGAACTGATTTGCTTTAGGTGGCTGGCTTAAATGAACTGCAACAGAGGTTAAAAATCACAGCCCATGAACCAAGAATGGCTTTTACATTTCAAAGGGTTGAAGAAAATCAAAAGATTTTGTAGCATCTGAAAATTATATGAAATGCAGATTTTAGTGTTCCTAAATAAAGTTTTATTGAAACACAGTTGTGCCGTTCTTTTACGCATTGTTGTCACTTTTGTGCTACAGTGGCAGACTTATATGGTTGCAACAAACCCTGAAAGATTTACTGTCTGGCCCTTTAGAGAGTAAGTTTGCCAATTCGGATATACAAACAAAGCTGACCAATGATTTGTTTCGTCTATTCCCAAGACTAAATCTTAGCTGAAAATGTAATTTCAAAAAGATGCAGTCATACCCATCAACACTAAAAGAAATAGATCCAGAGACAGAGTATTTACCCCAAAGCCTGGCATGAGCTGGTCTAGAGATTGTCCACTTCAATTTGTCTAATGCCAGACCCCCCTGTTCTAAGAGAAAACTAAGAGGGGAAGACAGACGGCTTCATTGGAGAATGAAAGGAGAAGAGAGGGCCTCAGTCCATGAGCTGAGGTTGTCATTCCTTTGAAAAGTTCAGCCCTTACCAAATATAGTCCTGGAATTGAACCATCCTGAATTAAGATTTATTTTCCTTTGAGTCTTTACCCCTCAATTGATATTTATCCCTGAAGTCAAAGGAGACGGGAGGAATGGAAGCTAAGAGCATGGTACCCTTTCTAGAATTCAGCATTGACCAATGAAATTTGTGGCGCTGTTGGCATATCAGGCCACTTCCTTTGTTTCTGATTTGTTTTTATTTTGTTTTTTCCCTCCTTCCCCCAAACACACAAAGGTGATTTTAAAGGATGTGGATTCACTTCTCTACGTGGACACCGACGTTCTCTTTCTGAGACCCGTTGATGACATCTGGAAGCTTCTGAGGCAGTTTAATGCCACGCAGCTTGCCGCCATGGCCCCTGAGCATGAAATCCCCAAGATTGGCTGGTACAGCCGCTTTGCTCGGCACCCTTTCTATGGCTCTGCGGGAGTTAATTCAGGAGTCATGCTGATGAATTTAACTCGCATAAGAAGTGCTCAGTTTAAGGTAAGGAAATACTTTATATTTCATGTTTAAAAATTGGGAGTTTTAGTCATTTCAACAGTGATGTTCCTAGATTGTCAGTGTATTGATTTTGGAAGTAGATGGCTTGTTGGTGAGGATGGAAGGGGCCAGGGAAGAGGAAAATATTTGGAAAGTTATGAAATGTTTGTTCAGGAAAAGTCCAGGTGGTTATGGAATTTAAAGCTTCAGCACAGTTGCTATTCAGGAATGTTATGTTGCATTTCTGAATTCTATAATGTTTGAACTCTGTGTATACCCAAAGCTTCAAAAGCCATGGAAAATTTTGTGGAATTATCCTCAGGATATATTTATATACGTACACAGAGATAAGGCTGCTCATGCCTCATCTTTTATCCTAGTAAAGAACTGGAAAGAACCTAAATGAACATCAGAGAACTAGTCAAAAATTAAAACAAACAAACAAACTCATCCTCCTATTAAGAATTAGATTAATCTACAAGTAAGACAAATTGATCTCTAAAAAATATTAAGGGAAAAAGTGAAAATGAAACAAAGCATAGTACCATGAAGTATGATCTCTTTTATGGCTTAGAAATTTCCAGAAGGATACCTAATTGTTAACTGTGGATATATCTGGGGAAAGTGCGGGTGGAGATGGTAGGAGGATGGAGGAAGAATATTTTTACTTTTTAATTTTATCTTTGTGTGCTGTTTGAATATTTAGTCTATGAATGTGTTGCTTTTATTTTAAAAGCAAATTATGTTAAGACAAGGAAAAGGTGTTTTTCCTTAGATACCTTAAATCTGCTATCTGTATTTTGTTTCCTCCCTTCTGAGGCAAGAATTAAGCATGAGAAAAAGAGGTTCAATTTGGGCACAGTTTTCTGAGCAGAAACGATAGCCCCAACTACTGGTTCCTGGTCCATCCCGATCCATGTGTTAGCGACCCGGCAAAACTCTATAGTTTCCAGCTCTAGTTTTGCTTTGTCCTATGTCTTGAGGCCAGCAGGACCCCTCCCGTTTGCTTCATTCCTGGAGGGTTTGAGGGTACCAGTTCCTCTCTGTTGTTTCCCAGGGGACAAGATGCATTTGCTTTGCCTCAGCCCCTCTGATGGTTTTCTCTTTTCCAGAACAGCATGATTCCAAAAGGCTTGGCTTGGGAGGACATGTTGTACCCTCTGTACCAGAAGTACAAGAATGCCATCACGTGGGGAGACCAGGATTTATTAAATATTATTTTTTATTTCAATCCAGGTAGGCTCTCTTGCGAGAATGCCGTTTGTGTAGGAGTCCGCCCACCGCGCTGCACAGAGCACATTCCAGCCCGGTCTGCGATTGACTGAGCCTGGATTGTGCCTGGGTTCCCCTGTGAAATGCGCCCTTTCATTCACACACACCACCACCCACCCCCCCAGGCCTCCCCCCGCCCCTCCGCCCCGCCCTGGGGGCTGCCCTCACGCTGCTGACACAAAAGGCCAAATGTTGCAACCTCCAACACTGGACTCCATTTTTGGAGAATATCTTTTAGAGTTTGGCCACACCATTCTTCTAAGAAGTGTGGTCAAAATTATTGGCAGGGCACAGAACTGCATGCCAACATTATAAGCTAGACAGGGAGGCCCTCCGTGGCTAAACAATTGCTAGATTGAAGGGAATTGGTTCTTGGGATCCTTACAGTTAAGTGACTTGTTCGGAGTTAAATGAACCTAGAATAAGGACTTAGATTTCCATTCCTTTTTCTTTTCGTGTGAGGCAAAAAAAAAAAAAAATTCCTTATATTGTATCAATGATTTGGTGGAGTTGGGGGAGGGAGATGCAAATCTCTGATCTGTGTTTTTTGATGTTGACACCTAAAACTAATAAAATTTCCTCTTTTCTTTCTTATTTGCTAAAACTGTATTTAATGTTGTTAGAATCAAAACCATGTTTTCTCCTCGACAAAGATCTTTTGGGGAGAAAAAAAGCTCTCGTTACCCGGACCTATTCAGTTCATTTCTTTGTCTTTACAAAATCCTAAAATAGAGACTCCTGTCCATAAAGACTTTTGCCTGTGATAACCTGTCACTCTGGAAGCACCTACTATGTACTTGAATTGTTTTTTTAAAATAGAACTCTGAAATAAAACCTAATCTCATAGGTCTTTGGATCTAGAAGGAGCAAATCCTGGGAAAGAAAAAAAAGCAGATTGAAAGAGAGTTTCTGGGGAAAATTCCCACTACGAATTCATTAGAGGAAGGGAAAGCCTTGGCCGTTTGCTGGTGGCATGTTTTAATCCGTTTCCCTCTGACAGTAATAGGAACTTTAAGATCTGTACCTCCTCCTTTTTCTTCCTAAGCAGATTTCATCTTTTTTCTAGGTGTAGATGGATTGGTTAGGACTTTTGGCTGCGTGTAAAAGTTAGTCCCAGAGTTAGTCCAAGCACAAGGGATACTTTGTTATTAGCAAACTGGTGTCTGCTAGAAACCAAGGCAGGAAGGCCAGCAGGCTCAGCCCAGGACCTGAAGCAGGAGAGGGAGAATGAGGAGGAGGCCAGGGCGGGCTTGTTTTCTCCCACTGACATTGCTTATTCCTCTCTTTGTGGACTTCCTTCTCTGCTCCTCAGGCCTCAAAGCAAAGTACCCCACGTTTCATACTCCAGGTGCAGCCACATGCAAAGATGAACTCCATCCTCACTCTGAATTCCCAGGGGGAGAAACCAGATGGTTCCAGCATGGGTCAGCTAGACCGGGAGCATGCAGCTAAGAAATAATGGCTGACATTTATTATTTACTCAGTGCCAGGTGCTGGTCTAAGCATTATCTTCTTTAATCCTCACAACCACCCTGAGAATATGATCCCCATTTTACAGACAAAGATACCAAGGGAGAGTTCGGTAATTTGCAGCACTGCTAATGAGTGACAGAGCAGGGGTGTATACCCAGGCCCCTCTGACTTCCGCCCTCTGCGTTTGGGGGAGAGGGGAAGTTCTAAGAGAGGGGCAATCCTAGAGAGCTGGGGAGACATCCCAAAATGTATCTCTGCACTGAACTATTCGTCCTTTACATATTGCATTTTGCTCTCTGTTATGTGGCTAAAACTATCTTTTAGAAGCCCATCTGGACATATTCCCAAACAGGAATTCTGAAGATTCGCAGTTTCCTCCTCAGAAATCCTCTTAGCCTGTTGCAGATTATTTGAGGACGTGATCAGTGAGTAAATAATACTTGAAGGCAGTTGTAAGCAGCTTTGCAATTAGACAGGAGCCCTTGTCTTTAATTGGAGCTGAAAACCAGCTGAGTTCGATGGCTTCTATACTCCCCATCTTAAATCCATTGAGTGCTCGAATATTATCAAATAGTTTGAGGTTGTTCTAAACCCTGGTTCTGAGCAGTACCAATAACCAAGTTTTCTAGCTTTCGATCGGCGAGTTCTTAGGTAACTCCTTGATTGCTGTTTCTGTGACCTGCGTTTGATCATCCTTTTTCATATTTTCTGCACGCACTTTATTAAACATGAGATCTTTGAACTGAAACCCATTGATATCCTTCATATGATAGGCTCTTTCTTTGTTTATATTGTGGTCACTTTCTATTAACCAGAAAATTATTTAGAAAAAAGATTGGTCATTTTTATCCCTAGAAAGGAGAGAGGGAGAGGAGGGAGAGGAGATTGGCCCTGACACGGGAGATAAACATGCTTGTTGTTATGGTCTTTTGGGTTGCCATGGACGAAGAAGCAATGCACAAGGGATGCCTGGGTGGCTCAGTTGGTTAAGCGTCTGCCTTCGGCTCAGGTCATGATCCCAGGGTCCTGGGATTGAGCCCCGCATCTCCCTCTGCCTGCTGCGCCCCTCCTGCTTGTTCTCCCCACTCCCCATCCCGACAAATTAATAAATAAAATCTTTTTTTTAATGGGCGCCTGGGTGGCTCAGTTGGTTAAGCCACTGCCTTCGGCTCAGGTCATGATCCTGGAGTCCCGGGATCGAGTCCCGCATCGGGCTCCCTGCTCAGCGGGGAGCCTGCTTCGCCCTCTGACCCTCCCCCCTCTCATGCTCTCTCTCTCTCTATCTCATTCTCGCTCTCAAATAAATAAATAAAATCTTAAAAAAATAAAAATTAAAAAAAAGCAATGCATAAAAAACCTGAGCACATGTCTGGAATGGTATTATTATTATTATAGCCTCCTATAGCCAATAACACCACTTTTTAAAATGTGTTTAAAAGTCATTCGTTTAAAAATATTTTAAAACTCTTGCCATAATTAGATAGGAAATTGCTGTGGATGTGTAATTGCAGTGCTGGGTAGTAGACAAGAGGAGAGAGCTGGAGCTCAGGAGGGACAAGCAGGTCGCTCAGCCCATAGGACATTTCCTGGCAGGTGGGGTGAAGATGGAGTTCACAGCTCTACATGTGAGTTTGAGTCGAGAGCAGAGTTCTATAGAAAGGGTAGATTTGACCAAAGCCAGAAGAGCACCCTACACAGAAAGATGTGCTTTGATTAATATGTTTGGGTAGCAGGGAACAAAACTCAGGCCAACTAAGGAAGGGACCAGGGGGCAGCAGCCCTGGGAACACATGGGTCACATCGGGCTAGGCCTCTTGGGAACTAGCTCTGGGAAACTGCTAAGGACCCCAGCTGATTTCTCCATCCCTCAGAGGCCCCATGGCCTCTGCTATCCTTGCCTCTCTCCACGCCTACCTGATTCCGTTCTGTTTCTCAGCATTCTGTTTCATGTGGCCCAACCCTGAGCCCACACAGCCTTACAAGCCCACAGCCAATGATGATGCATGTTTGGTAACAGCCCCCTTTGTTTCCTAATTCACACTTTTGAAGAGAGAGAGAGAGATTTGCCTGGCCCAACCTAGGAAATGACTCCAAGCCCAGCTAAAAACTATTTCTCTTTGGATAGGGAGACTGCCCATGATCTGGTCATCAGGAGCCAGAAGAGCAAGGCCATGTGGCATTTTCCTCTCTCAGGCATGAACACCTAGGTCTCTCCCTTCTTCAGGAACAATCTCCCTAAAGGTGGGCTGTGGGCAGGGAAGGAAATGAAACCAGCCAAGTATAGATAAGGAGGCAGGGCGTCCAGAAGATAGCAACAGTAGGATTCTGCCCACAGGGAGAGGGAAGAGCTGAAATGCGCCTGGAATATACATAGATTGTCATGGATTATACAAAGGGTGGGATACCAGGGAGTTGGAGGGGTTTGGTGGTGCCACAGGGAGTGGAACACGTAGTCTTGTGGGACAGCCTCTCCGGTGGCCCCAGGCGGGCCTTGTTCTCATCCTGCCAGGGTCACTAGGGCCCTGCATTTTGGGTATACAGCCACACTGGCCCTCACCCCACCAAAAGCTCCCAGCATCTGTCAGCGGTGAGCTGTGGGGTTGACAGGCTCAGCTATCTGGCGTTAGGATTGTTCCGGGAAAATGGTAACATCTTCTTGTTTGGGGAGTCTGGGACTTTAATGAGCTCTGATGCAAAGCCAAGAATGATGACTGTCAGATACTTATGGGAAGTAGCCTTGTTGTATTTACTTTTTGTCTTTCACCTGCAAGGCTTTGTGCCTGGAGCAGAGTTGGTCTTCAAAAGAGTTGGTTGGTTGAATGAATGGATTTGAGAGACTGGAGTGACAGAGGGAAATGAATGGAAGAGAAAGTCCACAGCAAGGAAATCGAGGAGTGGAAGGAGAGGGAGAAATCCAGAAAAAGCAGGACACATCTGGTAGCAGAAGGTAGAAGGTCCCATTTACTCATTCATTCAGCAGATACTGCTTGAGCACCTACTATGTGTCAGTCACAGTGGCAGGCACTGGGGATGATGCAGCGGACAGAACGGACAAGCGCCTATTTTCACGAAACCTACCTTTTATTGGAAGAGGTAGACTTCCAAAGAACAGCAAGTTGTTACAAATCATAGGTTGTAATAAATGCTGTAAAAGGAATAAATAGTGGCACCAGGGTGGCTCGGTCAGTTCAGCATCTGCCTTCGGCTCAGGTCATGATCTCAGGGTCCTGAGATGGAGCCCTGAGTTGGGCTCCCTGCTCTGGGGGGAGTCTGCATCTTCCTCTCCCTCTACCCTTCCCCCCCGCGACTTGTGCTTGCTCTCTCGCGCGCACGCTCTCTGTGTCTCTCTTTCTTTCAAATAAATAAATAAAATCTTTTTTAAAGAAAGGAATAAATGAGGCATCGAGAGAGAGACTTTCAAGGCTGGAGGGAGAGGATTGCTTCTTTAGGTTGTGTGATCAGAGTAGTCTTCCTGGAAGAATGTATTGCCCTTTTCTGGAACAAGATGCATTCTGGAAGAAGGATGAAGAGGATGCTGGGAAAGCTCAGTTCCAGAAGGACGCATTAAAGAAACAAAACTAACAAACAAAAATTAATGATGCATCCAACAGCCTTCATTCTATTGGTAGTGTAGTGAGTGAGTAGCAAGCCTATTTCACCATGAAGTGAAAATGATCAGGCATGAGCTGTTCCATAATCTTAGAGAACCCAAGAGTACAAAATAATCAGAAACGTAAGGAGCAATCAATTCACACGGCACTTTGTGAATAGTTAGGAGGCTCTGGAAATAAATGTAGACTCCTGAAGCCAGCACTAAGGGATTTCAGAGCCATAGATAATCAGTTAATGGGCTTCTTTATCTATGTAAAAATGGAGAGGAAAATAGCAAAGACTCGGGGTTTGAAGAGGGGTTAGCTTGAAAGAAGATTTTAAAATAAATTGCAGTGGTTCGAGGCTTTGGGGATTTGGAATTTTAAAACCATTCATGATATTACTTCCTGAGCAGTGGAAAATAACCTGTTTCCCCATGCTATCATTTTTAACCATCAGATTTTGACAGCCCTGATAATCTTGCTTAAAATAGATCCATTTCAGAATGGTTATTGATCATGTGCCAAATAGCCATCATTAGTCCACTCTGCATGTTCATCAGCTGATCTCCATAGATGTTCCCTCTTTAGTCCACCCCATGACGCTAGTTTGACCCCTCTCCTCCTCCCCCCACCCTCGCCCGTTAACCAAATGGAGATTTCAAAGTGTAACCCGTGCAAAATGTATCTGTGAATAAAAAGACACAACTGTTACTTTTCACTGCTCTGTCTTTGGATTACAGGGCCCCAGTTTTCTTAGGGGAATTACTCTTCTCTCTCTCTCTCTCTCTCTCTCTCTATCTCTATCTCTCTATTTCCCCCACCCTACCTGCTTTTGCATGCAGTCCTAGAACTCCATCTGCTCCTGATTCCCACTCACCCAGTCCGACCATATCCTCGGAACCTGAGTCTGGGGATCCAAGAGCAGAAAGTAGCCAAGGTTTCAGTGTTGGCGATGTTGGCAGCCGTGCTGAAGAGCTGACATTAATTAGTGCCCACCTGTCAGAGTCCAGGGGCTGCCCCACATCCTGACCCGGTTCAGCTTTACCTCTGATTTTATGAGCTACTCCCTCTCTTTTCAAGGAAAAATTCTTTTCCTTTTTTTTTTTCTTCAAGCTGGAATCAAAGTTAGTTACTTGCAATCCAACATAGATATATATTTCTTGAATATTTTAGGTCAAAGCAGTCTATTTATATGACAGCTTTGCTACCGTTATCTTACCCCTTTGAAGAGACTGAGTTTATCCCAGCAAAATTAAATAGCTTATCTTTCGTAAAGCACACTCTGATTTCCAAACTTTTCACCATGATCAGGCCATTCTCTCCTCCTTGAATCCTCTTCCAGGGCTCCATTTTTGACTGTCAAAATCTCATCCTTAGTTTGTAAGTCTGAGTTTAAATGAAACTGTACTGAAATATCCTCCTTTCTATGAACCCTGATAAAAACATGTTCATTTTGACTTTACTACATACTGTCTCCCTTACAAGAGTATAAATTCCCCAAGGGCAGGAGCAGAGCCTTATCATCCAGCGACACCAATGTCTTACAGTGTGTGAATGAATTCTTCTTTCAATTACATGCTCAATGTATTTTGCGTTTCTTCCTCTGAAAAATTCTGAAGGGGATTGTAAAGATGTGAATTGAATTCTGTCTGGAATCCAGTTTCATAGTTGAGATTCAACAGCTGGGTTTTAGCTGGTCTTTAGGAAATCGACAAACCCCTAAACTTATGAGCAAGTGTTCTTAAATATGCCCAGTTGTACCTTTCCAATGATAAGGTCGAAGGCTTTCATTAGACTCTGAGATCTGTGATCCATAAAAGGTTAAGAATGACTGGCCACCTGCATATCTAGAAACAATTGGAGTAAAACCTTTATTACCAAGGTACCGTGTGTCGAGAACTATGCTAGGCTCATTCCCTTTATTTTGTTTTATTCTTCTAGTGACCCAATGCAATAGTTCTCATAACAGTAACAATGGTCGTTGTCATGATTACAGCTTATGGTTATTGCATGCTTTCTATGTGTTGTACTGTTCCAAATACTTGTATTGATAAGTTCACTTAGAACTCCCCAGAATCCTACTGGACAAACTATTTACGGTCCTCCCCCGTTTACAGATGATGAAACTCAGGCTCAGAAAAATTATGTAATTTGGCTGAGTTCATGCAAGTAGGGTCAGTCCTGTCATTCAAAGCCAGTGTGGGTTGACTCCAGAGCTTGCTCCCTTAGCCATTTCACTATTAGCATAATAAAGCTGGAGTTCAACCCCAGATAACTTAGCTTCTTTTTACTGCTTCTAAATTGAGGTCCAGATAACTCATCAAGGTTGTAGAGCTAGGAGATGGTGGAAGCCAACTTTGAACATACATTCATCTGATTTCAAAGCCTTTCTATTTCCTCTTCTGCCCTGGAATGCCCTCACTGGGCGTGGTCCTCTCAGGAGGCTGCAAGGAAAGGGAAGGTTTCCTTAGCAGTGGGGTCCTGTACTACCTGCGAAGAGGCAAAAACCTCCATCACCAATCTCAAATGCCACAAAGGCGGAACCAGACTTTCCTTTGTCTGCTGGGTACAAAGCAGGCACTCAGTAAATATTTGTTGATACAATCAGTGTATTTACAAAAACAGAGATGGATTCTAGGGCAGTTCACTCAGCAGGGAACATTAGCAGGTGCTTAAGCAGGGACTCAACTGCAAATACCCAAGCAGGTATCATAAAGGAGCGATGTGATTCATGGGGCTCCGAAAAGCCACAATTGGTCTGAGGTCAGACACAGTTTAAAAGCACACGAGCACTTTTAGATACTTTCTGTCACGGAATCCTCATGCCGACCCCCTACGCTAGAATACAGAAAAGTCACACAATTCCAAGAGGAGTTTAAATCTAGTAATACGACTTCAGGGTGAGCACTGCTCTCTCCTAGCTATGGATTATATATGTACAAGTGTGGAAGTGAATGCAAGTAAGAGCAGCATCGCGGTGGAAAGGAGTTCTCCCGAGAAAAGGAAAATCTCTCAGGGTGTTGTGAATGATTAAGAATTGGAGGGTGCCTGGGTGTCACCATGGCCCGTAAAGACTGACTGGTAGAATTATTACACACAGTCCACCAGAGGGGATGTGTGATGACCTCTTCCTTGTTTGCTTTCCATCTCGAAGCTCTCTGGAAGCAGTCTCTAAGAAGGGATAGCCGTCAGCTGAACCCACGAGCACATCTCTATGTTGCTTTTCTGACAACGGTAATTAATTTGCTCTAATGCTTCTGTGTTCTCACAGGGGGCCTTTCTCATGAACACTGACACACACCCACAGAGAGCTTTGATTCCTACTGCTCTTACCCCAGCCCTTAAAGGCATCAAGCTGAGGAGCCAGGAAGCTCAGGGGTCGTGAATTTGTTGCTAATTTTATCATCCTAGCCGTCCAACAGGATTTGAGCCGAGTTTCTCAACCTTGGTACTGCTACTCTTGTGGAGGTTGTCCTGTTCATTGTGGAATGTTTAGAGTATCTCTGATCTCCACCCACTAGAGCATTAGCATGTATGACAACCAGTATCTCCCTCCAAACATCGCCAAATGGCCCCCGGGGAGGCCCTGGCAAAGAACCACCAGATTAGAGATACACATACAAGTACACGAGTGTGCACCTGCTCACCCACAATGTGTATAGTCACCTTGACACACGGACTTTTTTATTTCTTTGCTCTTTTGGGGGGGAGGGTTCTCCCCTTTACTGTTGTAGTTTTTTGTTTTTTCCTTCCATTTTGATTTTGTTGGTTGGTTGGTTTTTAATCCAAAGAGGAACCTTTGCTTCAATCTTGATTCCAATTTTCCAAGTCTGTCTGTTTCATAAAACCTTCCCGAAGAGTGGATTCTAAGTGCTAACACGGTTGACCACCACTGTGTGCTTGGCATTCGGCGGAGCATTTTACCTGTGTCTTTTAAATCTAATCATCCCAGTAGGAAGGAGTTCCTGTCCTACCCATATTACAGATGAGGGAGGTGAAGCACAGGGAGGTTGAATCGCTGGACCTAGGTTGCAGTGTTTCTGAGTGAGAGAGTGTGGGTTTGGACCTGACCTTGTTGGCCTCCTGGTCCCCCATGCACTGCCCTCCTGTTTTGGGGTGAAACCTACAACATCACGAGTATGTGCCCCTTCAATTCCTGATCTCAAAATATGGACAAAATATGGTGAAGGTTGGACCGTGAGTCCCAGTCACACTCCCAGGCACTGAAATCGCGTGTGGTGTGCAGGGTATGGAAACACGGGTTTAACCAGCAGGTGTGCAGAGGAGAGCGGGCACTGATTGCGGACGCGTCTTTCTCTTGTCACCACCAGAGTGTCTCTATGTGTTCCCCTGCCAGTGGAACTACCGTCCCGATCACTGCATGTACGGAAGCAACTGCAAAGAAGCTGAGCGGGAAGGAGTGTCTGTCCTGCACGGGAACCGAGGCGTCTACCATGACGATAAGCAACCCACTTTCAAAGCGCTCTATGAAGCAATACGGGATGTAAGTGTGTCCGCAACCCCCCCTCCCGCCCCCGGCCGTGTAGCAGACGCATGCGCACTCCACATGAAGCAGGACAGTCACTTGGGTCCTCGGCACCCTCGAAGGCCAAAGAATTCCCCAGAAGCATTGAGTTCTGCCCCTTTCCCTAATCTCAGGTACCACCTCACTGTATCAGCTCGCTCTCTCGTATTATAGCCACTCTTGGTCTTTACAAGTAAGTCACTATTTGGGGGGGGGGTCCTTAAATAAGTTCACTTAAGGAGGAAATGAAAGGCCCAGAAAGAAACCCTCTGCCATTTGCCATAACAGAGGGGAATGTGTTAGGGTAAAGATCACGTAATGAGAACAAAATGATACTATTCAGCTCAAGCTGAGTGTGTTGCCTGGTTGCCAGCATCCTGTTGAGAAATCCGGTGTGGAGATGGTCAATTAGGACAAGAGATCAACTTAAAAGTAAAAATCAAGTCTTTATTTACATACTGCAGCAGTGCAAGCAAGAGGCAAAAAGAGGCACGAGCTCCCGTGTTGCGTTGGTACCCAGCAAAGGGTACTGGTCAAGAGAATGCAGCAGAGACGCAGAGATCCTCTCAAGGTTCCTGCATCCTTATGGACCTGTAGGCCAGGGGAGGAGGAAGGAGAAGGGCAAGAGGGTCGAGTGGAAGGATACCCCTCCTTTCCCAGGAGGCCTCCAAATGGAGGTGTCTGGGATAGGAATGCAGGTACGAATTTGAGCGTAGCTGGCCCGGGGCAGGGGCCTGAGTTCTTGACTCAACTCCTTCAAGTAAACTTGCCCGTGCACCAAATCTGGTGTCAGGAGGGCAGCTCCCCATCGCTCCAGAGGCCTGCCAGCAGCCTTGTCATTACCCGTGGTTGAGTCTGAAAGACCAGACATAGGATTTTGGCCTGGAGCTGGACTTCTCACAGCCTCAGGCCCCCTCTTACCACCTTGGAGAGATTGATTAGCAAGTGTTGAGATGTTAAAGACGCCTAGGAACTATCTTCTTGCGGTAAATGGGAAGGTTGAAAGAAACTTACTTTGGTTCTCACTACCTAAAATGCCAGATATTGCTGGCCCTTGCCTTTCATCCCACACTTGGGGAAACGCTGCATTCCACATTGCTTTTTACCTTGAGATCACTAGGGGGAAACCAGCAACAGAGATTCAGGGATGTCCCTTTTGAAATGGTAACTCCAAGACATAGAGTAGGGGTCAGCGAACTTGGGCCAGATCTGCCTTGCTGCCTGTGTTTGTAAGACGTGTGGGCTGGGGACGGATTTGTAAATCATTGGGAAAAAAAGAATATTTCATGACGTGAGAAAATTATATGCAATTCAGATTTCAGCATTCATAAATAAAGTGGTATCGGGAGGCAGGGACACCCATTCATTTATGTGCTTGTCTGTGGCTGCTTTCAATGACAGAGATGAGTATTTATAACAAACTGTGTGGCCCACAAAGTCTAAAATATTTACTGTCTAGCCCTTTATAGAAAAAATGTGCTGACCCCAGACATAAAGTATGTAGACTTTGTTAGAGGTATTTGTCTTAAGAATCCACGAACCCTCACGGTTTCACAAATGGCCTTTGGCGGGAGTGAATCCTGAGACACAGGAATACATTTTTTGTGTGTGAAAAAATGTGCATCTTGCTAAGGAGAGTCTCTGGAATTCCAGAATTTTCTCTGCAGGGAATGAGTTTAGCCTGCATGTAAGCTAACACCGCTTTCTTCTGCATTTCCTGCTGTTGGTTTTCAAAGACCAAGTGATTTAATTACACAGAAAATTTGTTCTGTACTTAGTGATATCATCACTTTAGATATTCAGACACTGACTCCGGGGCAGAGCCATTCAGGAGTGCAAATAGAAGTTATGGGTTTGCAGCAGTCCATCAGAGCCAAGCTTGGGTTTCTTCTGTGACCTGCCAGCCCTAGTCTGGAATAGAGCAATGGTGGCTCTTGAGTTACCATGCGTCTTGTTTGCTTTCTGGAGGAACAGAAAGAAAGCCAAATAACTGGGTCATAAATGATCCTGCCAAATACACACAGTGATGGTCCTCACGTGGGCCTACAAGGACCATTTGCATTCAGGCGTTTCAATCAGGAATATCGCTAACCCCATCCTGAAACGCGAACAAACATAGGCTTCCTCTTGGAAGACACGTTTCCCCACTCTCCACAGGGCGGCGCACCGTCTGGTGGGGTCAGGGCCTGGCTTGGGGATGGACAGACCTCAACGCAAGGCCCAATTTTTGTCCCTTTCTGGTTATTAGTCATTAACTCTGTGCTCTTACCTTACTGGGCCTCAGTTTCCTCATTATCTCCTCAAATGGAGATAATAGTGTCATCTGCCTCATAAAGTTGTTGTGAGGATTCCACAAAATGATGGTTTTTAGATTTTATTTATTTATTTATTTATTTATTTATTTATTTATTTATTTATTTATTTATGAGAGAGAGCATGAGAGCTGGGGAGGAACAGAGGAGGAGGGCGAGGGAGAGGAAAGAATCTTCAACAGACTCCACACTGAGTGTGGCACCCCATGCGGGGCTTTGCCTCATGACCCTGAGATCGTGACCCTGAGGTCATGATCTGAAAGGAAGACAAGAGTTGGAAGCTCAGGGGCGCCTGGGGGGCTCAGGCGTTAAGCAGCTGCCTTCGGCTCAGGTCATGATCCCAGGGTCCTGGGATCGAGCCACACATGGGGCTCCCTGCTCAGCGGGAAGCCTTCTTCTCCCTCTCCTACTCCCCCTGCTTGTGTCCTCTCTCTCTGTCAAATAAATAAATAAAATCTAAAAAAAAAAAAAAGTTGGATGCCCAGCCAACTGCGCCACCCAGGCACCCCAAAGTGATGGGTTTTTTAAGCTTGTAGTACAGTGCCTGGCATACGGTTGTGCCTGATAACTAGAAGTTGTTTCGATGAGAGCAGTTTCACACTTACCTCCTTCCCTACCTTGTCCACGTTGTCTCACTCGCTCTCTCTTCCTCTGTCTGTAAAGATGTTTTCTCACTCTCAAACTGCATTTCTTTCTCCCTTCATCTCTCTCTGAAAGTATTCTTCCTGTCCCTCCCCTTTCCCCCTCCATCTCTTCTCTCTCTCTCTCTCTCTCACTTGCCCACACAAACCCTAACCCTGTGTGTCTGTGTTTGTGCAAAGGGAAAGTGAAGTCTCCTTCCATTGTGATCCAAGGAAGTCATCTGTCAGGTAGGCATTCTGTCAGTAATTCTTCCAACCAGCATCTGTGAAGAGCCTATTTTATGCAGGGACAATTTTAGGTTCTAGGCACTCAGAGTTAACAAGACCGACAAAGCCTGGTCCTCAGGAAGCCTGTACTCTGGGTGGAGGAAGCCACAATACTCACATGGACGAAGAAAGAAAGAAAAATTGTACCAGGTAGTGAAAGGTGTTAAAAAGGAACCAGAGCAGGGCGATGGGCTGAGAGTCACGGGCAGAGAAGAGCGCTCAAGAGCTGGGGTCTTCAGGGGGCCTCCTCGAGACTGATATGTGATCAGTGGAGGCAGCCATGGGCCAGTCTGGGGGGATCCTGCTAAGTAGAAGGAATAGCCCATGGAAAGCCCTGGAGGCAGGGATGAGTTTGGTGTGCCCAAAGGGCAGGGAAGAAGCCAGGGTAACCAGAAGGACGGAGACACCAAGGAGAGTTCCAGGTCCCATGGAGCCTTGAGGACAAGAGAGAAATTGGAATCTTATTTTAAGTGCAGTGCGAAGCCCCTGCAGGCAAATGATATGGTCTGATTTAGGCTTTAAAATTATCACCTTGGTAACTCAGTGCAAGGAGGCAAGAGTGAGAACACGAGGGCTATTTATGAAGAGTTCCTGCAGCCATCGAGGTGAGACATGGGGGCAACAGGAAGGTGGGCAGCGGTGTCCACATGAAGGCATTGTGGTAAAGAGAGATTTTACAGTGCTTGCTGATAGCCTGGATGAGGGATGTGGGGGAAAGAGAGAACCAAGGATGACTCCAGGGCTCTGACCTATTCTTTTCCTGTCACTAGGGATACCGTGATGAAAAAGGAGTTGATCAGTGGTCTAATTTGGGCTAAGAAAACAGTTGTCCCAAACATGGTCCTTCTTGTGTTACATAATGCATCATCTCCTGGGAAGAAATTCACATTTCTAATAAACATGCTTAAGCAATATTTCTGATGAACTTTAAAGGGATTAAAACTTGTTCTAGGAAACCAGACACCCACCCACTCTGCTGCCGGGCAAGCATGTACTGACCTTTCACCCTTCTTTTCTTCCTTTTTTTTTTTTTTCTAATCTTTTTGTATAAAATTTCCTCGCCAACAATGAATCTTTGACTTGACTACTGGAGGCCTTTTCCATTTCAACCAGATTGTAATAAAAATTTGAACATGCTCATAACTAAGTGGTCAAAAAGACTTATTTTGGAAAATTCTGCTCATAAACACCTTTCATGGGAAAACAAGAGAATTTCAAATCAAAAGCCCGGTATTAAGTGGGAAAAAAAAACCAACAACCAATATTTGGTACCTGAATTATTAAAATGAAGTTCAGTGACGATAAATTTTACTAGTAATGGCTAAACTCTGGACTTCATGAGATTACTACAGACATACCCTAAAGTTTCTTCATTAAGATTACAACAAACAGGTGCCTGGGTGGCTCAGTTGGTTAAGCGTCCGACTCTTGGTTTCGGCTCAGGTCCTGAGCTCAGGGTCATGAGATCGAGCCCCATGTCTGGCTCTGTGCTCAGGAGGGAGTTGGCTTGAGAGTCTCTTGTTCCCTCTTCCTTTGCCCGCCCCCCCACCCCCGTGTGCTCTGGTGCGTGGGCGCTCTCACTCTACATAAATAAATCTTAAAATTAGTTGCAACAAATGCAAAAAAATATGAAGAATTCAATGTTTTATCGCAGTAGATTTCAAGTCTCTACTTGCGCCTTGCTTCTCCTCAGCAAGAGCATACTAAATAGAGAATATCTTGTCCTTGAAGATATATTTTGATCTTAGATTTTAAGAGCTTTAAGGACCCAAATAAATCATTTTTTTTTTTTTTTAGAGGTAAAGAAACTGAGGCCCAGGGATGGTAAGTAATTTCCTGGGGCTGCACAGGATTGAATCAGGTTTTGAATCCCCATCAAATGTCTTAGAACATCCAAACCTATGCCTGCATGCTTAATTCCCTGTTTCATTTTTTAGTAAATGTTGTTTGCATTTTAAATGGCATTTCAGTCACTAAACATCTATCATTTTTTTTTAAATCCTTTTTTAGTTTCCCTTTCAAGATAATCTCTTTCAATCCATGTATTACCCGCTCCAGCTGAAGTTTTTGGAGACTGTTCACACTTTATGTGGACGAATCCCACAAGTGTTTTTGAAGCAAATTGAGAAAACAATGAAAAGGGCTTATGAGAAACATGTCATCATCCAAGTGGGCCCCAACCAGATGCACTGAATATTTTTCATATTGTCGCAAGTGGATTTGGCCTCTCAAGAACAAGGCAACGTTCATCTTTAAGCTGCCTGGATCTCTTTCGTGTGAATATTTAATGGTGCTCTGTGACAGTTGCATTTAAAAGGCCTCGTTACAGTTGCTCAATTATTTGCCCCTAAAAGGAAATATGCTTTAATTTTTTTAAAATTGCTATTTATCTCTCTGGGGTTTTTTAAATTGTATTATTACTCACTTAACATTGTTCAAACAGGTGGAGCTAGCTGTGAAAAGGAACTTTTGTGAGTCTTCCAATTCCTGTTAAATGTCTGAGACCACGTCAGTGACATCTCATGTGGTATATTAATCTAATATTCTTGAGACTCTTTCTATGCAATGGACTCCCTCATATCCTTGTTATAAAAGTAATACATGCTTGTTGTAAAACAGAAAAATGTTAAAAACTTGTAGGGAATACAGATCCGTGGACCAGAATCAAAATTAGATTAGCCATAATCCTACCAACTGGTGAAAAGATTGTTATTTTAATGGGTGGATGCTCCCAGCCTTTTCTCCCTATTTCTATATTTATTTGCTGGTTGTCTTTTCCATTGTAACACATATGCGAAACAGGCAGTTTGAGTAAAAGCTGGCCCCTATGCTGAGATTTTTCTGTAGAGACAAAAATTTAGAGAGAATGATTATGTTTACAGTGCTTTATTTAAAATACATCTGGCAGAAGTATTCAGATTTCTGCTGATTGGGCAGTGTTAAAGGATGGAGCATATCTGGGGGTGTTTTTAAAGAAAAGCTGTTTAGATTAGTGGAAGATTAAATAATAGGAAATACTTATGCAACCAGACCTCTGAAAGGAAATTCGATAATTGTGTTAAACCCAAGGGGTCACTTTAACAGAGATATGATTTTGTGTTTACCCACAGACAAAAACATTTTATCTCTTACCTTAGTAGGGGTGACCTTCTCTCTTCTTTAAACTCTTGGGCAACAGGTGGAAATTAAAGGCCAACTTCAAACTTATGTGTACAGAATAGATAGTTCAGCTGATTCCATTGACAAGAAAATTCAACTTCCTACCAGCCTTAGAAAGGTCTCTTTAAATTTTTTTTCCTCCTCTAGGGTTACCCAGCTGTTAGCCAAGGAACCAGGCAGGTCTTATCACCTAGCTACAGTGGAGGAAATTCTATAGTCCCTCCGAGGGATCTGACTTAATCCCTAGTTGCTCCTGTAGCTGGTATCAGGGTAAGAGTATTTTGCATAAGGCTTTATTTACCTCAAAAAACTTGTGCAGAAATGATGTGGTTGTTCACAACAGCCTAATGGACTTAGTAGGGGCCTGTATCATCTCCATTGGGCAAATAAAGAAATTATAATACAAAGAAACAAGGACACCCAATATAATTGCTGTTCTGTAACACATACAGGTATGGTAAGATGCATCCTGTTTTACAGACAAATTTTTGGAAATAAAAGTATTAAATACTCTTCATCATATATAGACAGTGATCTAAAAGCATAAAAAGAAAAATAATATTTTGATAATGCAAATATGGTGTTCTATATATTGGAGCCCAGTTGGATATCATAGGTACTATATCCACAGGAAAAGCCTTACCCTGAAAAAATATATGAAAATCTCAACACTCCAAAGAGATATATAGATATCAATCAATATTGGTATACAGAACCCTTATGGTAGTAACAAATTCTAAAATGTTAGAGGAATGGCCTATACTTTCCTTTCGATCAGTTGGGCGGCCTGTGATTTATTATTTTTGTTAAGGAAATTACCATTATGATGTGTTATATTGTTATATTTTCTGTTTCCTCATTTCACCATTAAAGGTGATGTCATTTATTATTTTATATCTAAAGGCCTTGGGGTAATTTTTGGATCCCACAAATGGGGTTTTAGTGAAAGAGTCAGAATGTAAACATGATTCCCTGACTTCCATTCCAGTCTTTCTACTCGTTCAGCATGGCCAGTAAACCCTACAAATGTCATTCAGATTTGTTGGTGACTTACAGGCCTAAAGAAGTCCTTTCCTCCTTCAGTGAGTCCCATAAAAAATCTGCTGTAAAGACTTTGAATACCGCAATACCTTTTCTTTTATGAGAGTCTGGTTTACCCACAACTCTTAACTGTTGGTTCTGGTCTGAATACCCAGAAAAGGTCCATGATAGAATTCTAGAACATTCTAGAATGATGCATTATGAGAATGTGAAACCTTAGAATTTGGTGTGGTTTTCTGCCTTGGAATTTCTTCATATTATCCTGAAATTTGAGGTGAGTTTGGTGGAGAATTTGGAGAACATTTGCTCTTCCAATCCCTGCTGCCTGAACGTGTTAATTATTTTCCATTTAGTATGTTACTATGAGGCAGTATTTTCTCTGCCTTTGATAATTTCTAGACAACTACAACATTAGCGCCTCTGAAATCTGGGAACTGTAAATTTTAATTCAGTGGACCCCTAAATCATGCAGTCTGTGGTCTGAAGTTTGTCAAAGGTTGTGTTGTTCCATATGGCACATTGAATCTACATTGGGAAGAGCATGAGACTGGTTCTCTCATCTCCTCTTCTTGTTTCCTATAGAATTCTGGTCAATGCATACGACTACAGAGTTCCATTGGAGAATGAAAGAACACTTGCCAATAGCAAAATGTAACAGTATTTTTGTATGCATGGAGATTGAGACTTTCTGTAGTAGGGTCACTAGAAATACTTACAATATTTTTCTTGTTAAGTTTTTTTCCAATACAAATCTCAGAAATTGTGACTTATGTTGAAAATTTCAACATTTAAAAAAAAATTAATTGGCTAGAAAATCTGTTTAAGTTTTCCTTCAACTTCCTAAATGACAATTTAGCATTTAGGGCATAACGCTCCAGCTTCACTATTTATTTGAAATCTCTATTACATATTGAGTGCTTCCATTGCAAATTGTTGTGACTATGATGGGATTTATTATCAAAGTGGATATTTATATGGACTCATCAAGGTTTGAGAGTATTTATCTTATTACACTTACGGTGTTCATAAAACAAGCAAGCCATACAAGACCTTATTGACATCACAAAATAGTGATTCAGTAATAGAATAATCACTCCACCCACCCAGAAGAGAGGACATGTCCATACAAATTTAGATTTATGTATAAATATTGCCTGATATTTATACAAAAAAAAGATAGATTGCATTGGATTGCATCACGTTGGATGAGCCAACATGAACATGATTTCATGACTGAAAAATGTTGGATGCCATGGGGGTACAAATCATTATATCCTCATCGAATGGTATGGTAAGCAAGCTTTCTTAGGTTTTTCTGTTTCTTGGGTCCTACTCTTTCATCTTCCTTTTTTTCATTTTTGCCTTTCCCTTCCTGTCTTTGATGTAAGCTACTGAGTAGTACCAAGAGCCTTGGCATTAATGGTGGGACGACAGATCCCTGTGCAGGCAGGAGGATCCCTGTGCAGGCAGAAGGAAGTTCTAATCCTTAGATGGATTCTTTATGATAAAAGCTTTCAAAAATTTTTAAAATCACACAACACATACATAGATACACACACACACACCCCACATGCCTTTTAAGGAAAGAGCCCTGGGAATCCGTCATGCTCTGTGAATTGAAGGTTTCTAGATAGTGACATCTTAGGTCAACTCATTTCACAGTTGCAGTGCTGGTGTCTGAAGCTGATGAGATTTTGCTGCCAAACGGAGAAAGTTATCCTCTCTTGAGTCCTCAAGATAAAGCGCTTGTGTGTGTGCGTGTCACCATCTGCATGAACATGTAAGAGTCGTGCAGTTTCTGCGTCATTAGGTTTACATGTTTGTGTTGTCACTGAAAAGTGCGCCATTGTTTATAGCTCCCAAGGAGACCCTGCGTGGATTTTTTTATGTTGGAAAACTTATTTTTTAGTAATTTTTCTTTGGGAAGAAATAAGCATAAAAAACACAATACTCCAAAGAAAATGAATTGTTACAGCAAATTAAAAGAACAAATATTATGATTTAATTACTTGTCTTTTTGAACGCCATCTCCTGTTTTACCTTTTTTTCTTTTTTTTAATTAAAAGCTTTTAAAAAAGTCATGTCTTTTGGTGTTATTTTGGAAGCGTGTTTCTTTGATAAGATTTCAAGTTTGAAATTTTATAATATTAAATAGTAATATTTAAGTCCTTCCTTTTAAGAACTGGTAAAGAAATATTTGGTTTAGTAAGTAGCTTAGCCTATTTTTTTTTTTTAAGATTTTATTTATTTATTTGAGAGAGAGAGAATGAGAGACAGAGAGCATGAGAGGGAGGAGGGTCAGAGGGAGAAGCAGACTCCCTGCCGAGCAGGGAGCCCGATACAGGACTCGATCCATGGACTCCAGGATCATGACCTGAGCCGAAGGCAGTCGCTTAACCAACTGAGCCACCCAGGCGCCCAAACTTCGCTTTGTTTTTAAAAAAAATGCCATATTGTAGCAGTGCCTGGCTGGCTCATCCATAGACCATGCGACTGCTGATCTCGGGGCTGTGAGTTCGAGCCCCATAAGATTAAAAAAAAATTTTTTTAATGCCATACTATATATTATATGTTATTTGGTTTTAACGATGTTTTATGTTTGAGGTACAATGAGGAGAATTTGGAGGATGTGAAAATCAGTTTTCCCCATTCCTACATGTTATTTGGCAGAGTTGAAATTGACTTGTTAAGCTAATAATACATATCAAAAATAACTGAACCATGCCAAGAGTTTTTGAGTCTATACAAAGGGTTTTTTTTTTCCCAATCCCTAGTCTCTCTTTTTTTTTTTTCCTAGTCTCTTTTTAAAATCAGCACAAGGTACTCCATGCATCTACTGAGTTCCCTCTTTATATTTTAGAACATTTTAAAATGCTAAGATACTTGGATATGGTTTTCTGGAATAACTGGGAACCCACATCCAATTATTATGTGACATATAAGCTTCAGGAACTACATGTAGACAACACTGAATTTAAGTCCCAGCCCCAGCATTCTCAATCCTTACTGACCCTCTTTCCGCTTCAGACTTCCCACCTACTAGGACAGGGCTGAGGATGACCTTCCTCCTGGATTGTGGTAAGGAATAAACACAGAAACATGGAATTTCAAAATCTTAAAAATTCCTTGTTTGTGGTCCTCTAACTCCACTAAGTAAATGGCTACCCGATTTTTAAAGAGTATCAGATTGAAGGAATGGCAACCGATTTGCCCTTCTCTTCCTTTGTTTTATAAGCTGGTAAATGTCACCAACATTCACCTGCTGCCTCATCCCAGAAACCTGGCCTTTACTCTTGTCTGCTCCCTCTCCCTCCTTGCACACCACCCTCCTCCCTGAATCATCGCTTCCCCCACTAAAATAGCCCACTCCTGGTACTGGTTTCTGCAGCAGCAAAAACCCTTCAAAGTATAAGTGACCACATACAACTTAAACTAGTGCAAGACAAGCAGAGGGTGTATTGCTTCTACCTCCAGAATATTAACTGAGTCAGCTTCCTGTGTTTCTCTTCACTATTGCCTCCATTCAAACCGTTACTGTCTGGGGGTCTTGTGATCTCTGGCCTGGATTGTTGTTCTACTGCCTGTCTTCTCTCTGCATTCACTCTGGCCCCCACTGAACCATAACCCACCCCACCTGTATGAGGCCCTTCAGTGGTTCCCCTTTGCTCCTATGGTAATAACCAAACTTCTTTCCAAACTGCTCAGAGTCCCTATGTGAGCTACACCCTGCCTATCGCCCTGGCCTTGAGTTTTTCTTCCCCACTCCTCTAATTACCACTTTTGCTGGTTTGTTTTCTCTTCTCTTAAGAAGCCAAGCTCTTACCCATAAAGGGGTCTGCACATGCTTGGAATTCTCCAACCTGCAAATTTACCCGGCAAATTTCTAGTATCCTTCAGGTCTTGATTTAAATACCATTTTCTCGTGGAAGCCTTCTTGGATCCCCCCATAAAGGCAGGTCCTCCTCTTACGCTCACTTATATCAACCTGTACTTTCTCTTTTCAGTATGTATTATGATAGTAACAATGCTCATTGGGGTAAAACATTTCGTTTATTGACTGCCTTCCCCACTAGACACAATGTTCCTTGAGAACGTGTAGTCCTTGGTGATCTTGTTCCTTGTTCAATGCCCATCGCCTTACCCAATGACTAATACATTTCTGGTGCTCAAAATATATTTACCAAGAATGAAGTGATTCTGCTGTATCATGGACTGGGACCAGTTCTTATCCACAAAGCTTCATGACACACTGTATTCACTTTGAGTGTTGTTCTCAAAAACTATTTTTCTTATAAATGTTCGTTGTTCTAGGTTATAATATCCTATCCTCTAAAGTCTCATTTGTTGAAAGTATAATGATTCATTGAGTTTCATGGAGATTTACTTACTTGTCCAAAAAGTGACATGGATGGGTTACATACTGTTTGACTTCCTTTCTACCTAAATGCTCTGTTGCCATAATCTGTTTTTAATGGCTCTGTTGTGGGCACTTGTGGGATTTTGGCTACCTGGAAACCACACCATGCTCAGTACCAATTTCTGCATTAGTTAAAACTCTTTAAATTGCAAGGGACAGGGGCGCCTGGGTGGCTCAGTTGGTTAAGCGACTGCCTTCGGCTCGGGTCATGATCCTGGAGTCCCGGGATCGAGTCCCGCATCGGGCTCCCTGCTCGGCAGAGAGTCTGCTTCTCCCTCTGACGCTCCCCCCCTCATGCTCTCTCTCTCTCATTCTCTCTCTCTCTCAAATAAATAAATAAAATCTTAAAAAAAAATTGCAAGGGACAGCAAGTATGACTCAAATTAATACAGAGAAAGAGACACAGAGAGAGGGAGATGGAGAGAAAAAATGTATTGGCTCATGTAAGTGAAAAGTCCAGAAATAGCTCTGAATTCAAGGCTTAAATGATGCCAAGGGAAATGTATCATTTTAACAATGCTTTTTTTTTTTTCGTTAATATTTTATTGAAAACCACACATCCTTCTAGCATTCCAGCCATAAAATTTTCATGTCATTCCAATAGAATCATTCCATCTTTGGAAAAATATATTGTCTCCGTATCCAACTGAAAAATGGTATTGTCAACCTGAGTCAAGACATTAAGAAAATTGTTCTCCTTGTGTATGTTTTAAAACAACTGTAATATATCTTTTTCCCCCTCATTGAGAACCACTATTAACCAAATAAAGCTCTTATACTGGAAACAATTCACCAACTAATAGGAATGGATGATGGGGTGGGGGGTGCATTCTCATAAACTGTTGAACAAGAGTGTTTTATCACCATTCCTCTGCTCCACAGTCCACATAGACTCTCAGAGGTGACAGTCAAAATCATGAGTATAGATGTATCTTCTTAGGCTACAACTCTAAAGAGACTCCTGGGAATATCTGTGCCTGTCTCTTTACTGAGCATTTAGATCTTATCAAAATAATAGCACTTTTTTTTTTTAGAATTGCTGCTTTGGGTCTAGTGACAAAGTGAGTCTAAATGTCATACAAGGAAGTTGAGTTCTCTGGCATCTAAATTATTGTTATTAGAAATGATTGCAAGGATACAGAGTTAAAGGAAAAATAAAAGGGCTGATACCAGCTTTGGTATTTTAAATATTTAAAACTTGTTTCTAAAACTTGGCTAATGTTTGCATGTGCATGTTCATGGTGGTGCAGGAGAGAGTTAACATAAAACTAAGAGGCTGTGTTCAAGTGAGTGGAAATTTAAACTTCTCAAGGTTGCCATCTGTCTGTTTAGATGTCACAGTATCTGGCATGTAATGGATGACCAGTACAGCATGCCCTCCCTATTCCCTTAACACACATTATTTCCACACAAGCCAGCTCAAAATCTAATTTCCAGCCCCTGTGACTCCGTGGCTGAAGGCTCTTTTTCCTCTGCATCCTGCTCCGCTCGCCTATGGGCAGGCAGGAAGTTTTGGAAAAAATAACACATGAGAGTAGCCCTCAACTGTTGATTGATGGGAATTGGTGGATACATACCCCAGTTCCCTCTCCTCTCAGGTTGGGTAACTCTTGATTGTCTGTCCCAGAATTCTCCCCTGAGAGAGAGAGCTCAGACCACTCACAGAGTAGTAATTTCCTTGATAATACATTCTTTATCGGCTTCCCTTCCCTGTCTCACTTTCCACTCTTCTACCAGTGTTTCCTTGGATTTGGCCCCAAATAAACCACGTGTACTCAAATCTTTGTTTCATCATCTGCAACTGATAAATTTTTTCATGTCAGTAAAAAATCAAATTTAATATCTATGATCTAATTTTACTTATTATGAAAATAATTCTTGGGTGGATGGAGTATTTGGGTGATGGGCATTAAGGAGCGCATGTGATGTGATGAGAACTGGGTTTTATACATAACTGATAAATTGTTGAACACTACATCTGAGACTAATGATGTACTACTATATGTTGGCTAATTGAATTTAAATTAAAAAAAAGAAAGAAAATAATTCTTTACCTTCCCCCTCTCCCACCCTCCACTCCCCTTTTCCCTGTCCCTCCTCCTTCTTCTTTTTCTTCTTCTTCCCCTTTGTCTTCCTCATCTCTGCTTGCATTTGGGGAAAATTTGAATTAATCCCCCAGGCCCTGCACAAAATATTTGGGAATTAGCATTCTTATACATCCTCCTATTGACTTTTCTCCCATCACTGGATTTTATTAGCTATTATTATTTTATATTTCCAAGCTGTATAACATTTACACTCTGGTCTATAGCATGGCTATTATTTCAGTTATATTATAAATAAACATAGTTGGGTGATTTATTTTATTGATCTCCAAAGAGTCCCAGATACTTTGAGTTATATTACCCCTATTTCCTTTTTCTAAGGTATGCATTTTAAATACACTGTATTTTGGTCTTGCATTTTTGTTTGTTCTGTTTGTGACTTACATTTAGCTAGTCACTCCTGTTTTATACAACTTTGTTATGCTAATAATGGAAATACCATAAACTACTCATATTTAAAAGGTGCAATTTGATTGGTTGTAACTTATGTATGCTCACTTGAAACCAAGGTAACAAACATTTTTATCACCTCTAATAGTAGTCTCTTCATACCCCTTTT